AGCAATGCCTCAACAACTCATTGACACCCTCATTCTCAGCATGGGCGGACGCTGTGAAACCTGCCTAGCAGTCAGGGGAGATCATATCCCCTATTAAAGCCCGGATGTTTCTTGCTGGACACCCATCACTGGTATGTTTCGGCCTTCAGTCGCATTGCGCTCCATGCTACTTTTTCAATAAAGCTTCTTTTTATCCCTCTGATTTGTCTTTTAGTAAGTGTTGCTTATATTACTCATGTCCTTACGTATTGGGGATCTTACGGTATTAAATGTGTTGATTTGGAAAGCTTTTGTACAAAGTTATATTGAAAAAACCGTCTCGTCCTTAATTTTTGCACACCAGTGTACTTGAAATTGGATGGAATTCTTTATATGGGCACTATTTTCTAAATGAACCAAAAATATGATTAATATTTTAATATAAAAAATTTATACATGAAAACGTTACAGATTTTTTTATAAAATAAATTTTATAAACTCAAGTAAAATAAAAATTTAATATGAAATTCTTAGAATTTTTGGTTCACAGTAGTTTCCAAATGTTATAAAAGCTATATATTAAATATGGAATTAAATTATGCGAAAGAATGTTTTAAATTGTGCGCGCAAGGTGGAAGTATGACGAAAATATTTTCACAAAGCGGATTAAATTATGAAAATATTTGTGGCAGCACAAACTTTCTGATTACTATTTCAGAAAGCAGCTATATTATGTAGTCAGCTGTAAAAAGTTGGAAGTAATCGCTTTTAAAATAAGTAAGTTATCTCAATTCTCGCAACAGTCACATATTCGAAGATCTTATGGGTTTTAAGGTGTACGAGTCCCCTTAATAGAACATTTAAAGTTTTAATGATGAGGAAACAATAATACAGGTAAATACAATTCTCAAGCAATACAGAACAACAGAGAAATATAAAATCAAAAAAAAAAAATTATTTAACAAAAATATCAAATTAAAAACACCTTTCAAAAGAAAGTCACAAAAAAAGTGTTATTCTAAGTTTCTGTGCAAGAAATTTGTTGTTATGTGGATATTGGATATGGGTATGTTATATGACTTAGTAGAGGCATTAGGATTTTTGAAGCTGGAGACTGGAGAGAGGAAAAATGTGCAATGACCTTGCTGGGACTCGAACCCTAAACCTCTCGAATGCAAGTATGCTTCAAATTATAGCACGAAAGCACATGAAAAGGAGGGAGAAAATACATTATAGCTTTAATAAAATGGGTTAAAACTTAGTGCAATTTTGAAATAAAGTTAATAGTGGGTATTTTATTTTATAAAAAAATATTAAGATTGCAGAATTTTGGGGGGTGTACATTTTTTTGGAGGGGGGTGTTTCTTAAAAAGCAATTTCAAAACATTCGAAACACAAATAACAAGGCATTTTATAGCAAATTCATCTGAATTAAATGTAAGTCTTTGAGATCTATATTTAAAATATGCAGCTTGTTATTAAAATTATTTTTCCTTTTTCGGCATACCTTTACTTATTTTGTTAGTTCATTAAAACTTTTATTTATTCATTCAAAAAACCTATGTTTGTAACTTAGATTGCTTCTTAATACATTTATGCTACAATTTTGAAATTAATTCTATCATTAAAACAAAAACAAAATGCTTAATTTTCAACTGAAAAAGCTTCAGAGTTATTTTTCCTTTATATCCTCGTCAACTGAAAAATCTCAAAATGTTAAGCGAAAAAATCTCGTTTAAATAACTACTTCTTCTTTTTCTCTACGAGGCAAATCTTAAGTTGGATTGAATTGAGAGAGAGTGAAGTTGTACGTGCAGAAAGCATGTAGACATTGCTCGAGGAGCGGAAATTTTAATGAGGCGGCCTCTTCATGTGCAGAAAGCTATGTGTACGTAAATAAGCTCATTAGAGACACGTTTATGAAGGTGTTCCACAACAGCCTTACATCTTTTGCTGCCTATTAGCTTTAATAAGTTTCGTAACTCGTGAATCTTGCGATTATTTAATTAAAAGAAAGCTGGAACATTTTTTTCCCCACATACAATAGTTTTACACTGCTGCGATTCTGACGTATTATAGTATATTAACAAATATCGACTTGTATAATTTATTATAATGGAATATTTTTACTTAGAGCAAAAACCAAACAATGTATTGTATTGCTAAATAACATATCGCATTCCTTAACTAGCACATCGCATTATTTATCTTCTAACACATTTTTTCCATCCAGTTTTGTTATTAGTGGGAAGTTTCTGAAATTTTACAGCTTCTAAAATGTTAGACAGAAATATAGTAAAAACGTTGATTATTTAATATATTAGGTATTTCTCCCGTCTTCTTAGCATGCCTTGATAGTGTGGTGGTCTGCACGCTGGGTGCGTATTCTAGAGGTCCGTGGTTCGATTCCCGGCGGAGGCGTTGCTCATTTTTCACATTTCTTGCTTCTAAAATACTTAATGTCTCTACAAACTTAGCTTTCTCTTTTAATTGGGAATAATTAATTAATTTGCAAATATGATTCTTTATGGCACATCGAATGAAAAACTTGAAAAGATGAGTTTCCTGCATAAATTTAAAAGCACTTAACTTTTTTCTCTCTAATGTATATTTTAAATTTACGCTTGGCCACGTCGCTTCTCATCTAACAGCCCACTAATGACCGAGCGGTAAAATACCACTCGGGTTCAAATCTCAGTGAACAGCTTAATTACATGTAGTTACCCTCATGTGTAACATAAGTTCAAGCCAAATTCCTTAAAAAGTCCTCCAAGAAGGCACTCTCCTTATTAATCAGATAGCTCTTGTGAGCTTTGTCGTAATCCAAACAATCTGATCGATTTCACCCTACGCAAGATGTAACTGACGAATATTGGATTTTCGTTAATTACAGGAAAAGTTAAACGGAAGCAAAGCGTGTGGATTTTAAGATTAGGCAAATTTCAAATTTTTATTTGCCCGGGTTTATAAAAAAATAACTATCAAAAATCGTCTTTCAATTTTTTTTTTTTTTTTTTTTTTTTTTTTGACTTCGTTAACTGTTCGTTAAGTCTTCAAATCAATAAACTCAGGTATCATATCTAATCGAAACATAATTCCTGTAAATTTAAAATTAAATGGCTCTTTGGAAAAGCATAACGTATGACCCTGCCTTAAAAATTTACTTTAGCAGTACTTTCTCCATGAATTTTGCAAACTCATGCAAACAAATCTATTTTAAGTAGCTACTTAAGTATTAAAGCATATGCAAATTATTTTTAACTGAGGGAGAAAATCCAGATTTCAGGGTCAATAAAGGCACTAGTTGAGGTGTTTAACAAGTTTCATTATAGCTATGATTTTGCATCACCGTGCCGCTGACTAATTTGTATATAATTTTCAAATAATTTTTGCAAATAAATATTTTTTTTAAACTATTCTCAGTTTAAAACTCAAAAATATGTTTTTTTATATATGTAATTTTATTTAAACTTTAAAACATTATAATATTTATAAATGCATTATCTAATTTAAACCCCTCAACTAATTTTTAACAAATATTTTTATCTCTGTTGAACATAAATTACTTGTAATAAGAGAAGAAAGGTCTTAAATGTAAGGATACCCATTGTACATTTCTTTAAGCATCTCTGAGCAAAGTCAATGTTTCTTTTTTCATGCAGTCTAGCGTTTCCCTTGCTGCTGTTTCCGCGTATATTACTTATATCTATATCTGAATTCTAAAAATTCGTGGGAAGCCATTTCGACTATTATCGTTTTCGTACGACTTTAATTAGCTGAGATATTAAATAAAAACTCTGAAAACAGTAATTTTCGCACTCATTTTTCCGAGTGGCAACAGTCTCGTCCGTTGGAGATAAAAATGCTTTAATTGAAAAAGTGTTGCCACTGCTCGCTTTAAAATCTTAGAGACTGTAAATCAAATATTTCTAAGCTTTACAAAGTATGAAATACAAATAGCATTACCAAGTATTAAACAAATTATTATTATATCAAGTCATATTCTGACTTTGAAGAAAGCACGCGATTGCATGTGACGTCACTCTATGTCCAAAATTCTTCGTTAATGTCAGCAGTTTAAATAAATAGCTGCTGTTGGCAACTTTTTTTTTTTCAGGTTAGTATAACTGAGACGATATTTTATTGCCACGTTAATTCTTTCATTAATATTGAGAAAAAGTTGTTATATTGCATTAAATTTAAATTTGACGTCAGCATTAAATTTAAATCTGAAGTGTCAAAAGCTTTTGTTTCTTGGTTCGGCAATGAAAAAATTATTTACAAATTGGTTGTTGCTTGGAAAGAATGAACTAATTTCTTTCATATTGAAATGTTTTCATACATTTGCTTTTCAGAGGTACACAGAACTTACGAATTTTGCTTTGGCAACCGCTCAGCTGGCGCAGTTGCCCGCTAGTTTATAACATCTAATGTAAGCTGCTAAAATTGCTAAAAAAAGTGCTAATGTAAACTGTGTATATTCTTAGACTGAATTATAACTCGTGTTTACGATACTTAAAACAGAGGTAATTTGATTTAAGTACCGACACTATTAGAACCATGCTGACACTATTAGAACAGTAAAAATATCAAATTCATGTTTTATACATAAAATGTATGCTATGGCTTCTGAAAAAATTAATTCCCAGAATTAAATACACCCGCAATGATTCAAATTATTTCTTAGCGCAATCGAGGCATAAAACTTTCTGAAGAAAGCAGACAAAAAGATTTTTGCTGAGTACCAAAACAAGTTCAGAATAATTTCAAAAATTTAATGAAAAACCTATACTAAGATGTAATTTCAGTATTACGTCACTAATCAAATTGAGATGCATAGATTTTTGAATGGAATGCGAAGATAAATATCCATTCCTGCAACAGTCTTCATTCTGGATTTTAACTGTCGTTAGTGATAATATTATGTACAATACGAACTAACTTTCTTCCTAAGTGCAAAAATTATTACATTTTGCGCTCAGTAGAGATGTTTTATTCTTTTTTTTTTACATTCATTCCAGATTCCCGGAAGGACGTGGCCGTTATCTCAATTTTGGCAATACGTCTCCAAGAACTATGGCCTCGATTCTGTGACATCAGCAATTAGTCACATACATCAGACACTGGTTCATTTGTTGCTACTTGCGGAACTGTCCATGATGCTGTCACCTCCCGATGACGTCATCGCTGGCCTGGGGAACAGTAGGAGGTTCAAGTAAGTAATGAATACATATTCTTTGTTTTCTATTCCCTAATAATATTTTCTTGGAGAAATTCGCAGTTTATTTGTTTGCATGTTCGCCATTAAAAGATTGATCAGAATTTAAATGGGCAAATTACTGTGTTTTTTTTTCAGTGTTTTTTACATTTGTCCATGGTCATTCGGGTAGTTATGGAAACGAGAGAGCTGATTGGCTTGCTAAGAATGCAACTAAAAATGATATTAACGTTGATGTAAATATTCCAAAATCTTATTTAAAAAAAACATCCAAAGCTAAAATGATTGAGCGGTGGAACTGTGATTATATGTCTTCTGATAAGGGATCTGTTACAAAAGCATTCTTCCCAACTATTTTTGAAAGACTGAAAAGTAAGGACTTGTTGCTCAATTTTAAAAGTTACGCAATTTTTGTCTGGACATGGTAAGTTTAATGTTTATCTTGAACGATTTAAGCTGACATCTTCCAATTTGTGTAATTGCAGTCTTAGCGTTCAGCAAAGTGTTTTCCCACTGCTTTTTGATTGCCCACTGCTTGATAAAGCAAGAAATCTTTTTGAAATGTAGATTGAAATTCATTGGAATTCATTCATTGGCCGCCGAAATGTTTATGATTTTGTATCCTCGATTTCGGCCTACCGGCTTTCAATGATTTTTGTTGACTTTTATTTTAAAACACTGTTAATGATTTCTTTATACATTTTTATACTTTTGTATTTACTTGTGTTTTTTTTTTTTTCCCTTGTTTTTTTTTTTTTTTTTTTTTTTTTTCCTTTTTTTTTTTTTTTTTTTTTTTCTTGATTTCATTGTATTGTTGAAAACTTATGATATTACTTACTATTCTGCCTTTTCACTTACGATTTGTAAGTCTCGTGTGATACTTTGTGGTGCACGAGGATTTCTTTTTCTTTAAATAAAAAAATAAAAAAAAAAATTACTGTGGAAAGCCGTTTTATAATGCATTGCATTTGGTTGGTACTAATGATATAAGACCTTTTTAATAAAATTTAATCTATTCATCATATTTCAAACTTCTTTAATATTTCAGGTTAAGCTCTTTTAAGCTCTGTTTATTTTATAATAACAGAAAATAAAAAGAACACATATAATTTGATTTTTCTTGTTGATGACTGACCGTATTTCATAGTCGGCAGGTAGCTTGAATTTTTCAAACATTTTAATCTGACATTGCAAAACGTAGACCGACGATGTGAATGGAAGGGGTGTCAGATTCTTTGCAAAGATTGACGAGAGCCTACTCACGCGATCGATTTCATGAACGCGCGGAATTTCAAACGATATTCATAAACAGACGTTAAAAAAATAACGTATGTATAATAATTACTATTTTAAGTTGTAATAACATATAAAATTTGGGAAAAAATATATAACTTTCGCGTTGATTTCTGTTCGGAAAACTTGTGGTCTCAGAAGCTCATTGCTAATAAGAAGAGATAAGAGCACGGAGAAATTGCTGTATACCCAAAATAGCGTGAAAATGCGAAATGCGTGAAGTGTGTATCAAGTGTGAAAACTCATATCATTTACATGTGAATTAAGATTGAAAATAATAAAATCTTTCATTAATGTAAAAAAAAATTTAAGAAATACGGGAAAGGTATCTGTTCATAATAATAGAATAGGGGAATCTTTATATACATAAGGATGCAGATTAATAACGCCTTTTAATTAAATGTTCAAATATATACAAAGTTTCACTTAACGCTTTTGTATTAAGGAACATTTTGAATATTTAACTATTGGAGATATTCAGTAGATTTTTAAAATAACTGCTTCAAAAAGCAATTCTTAGAAAGAGAAATTCATTCTTTAGATTATCAAAAAAAAAGAAAAAGAAATGGAATTCTCTTCCTTTTCCTTGGCTTCTCGGCAAATAATTTTTCTTTTAGTAATTCTATTTCTTTTACAAAACTTTCCATAATACAAAATTTATAATTGAATGGTTCAATCTGTATTCAATTATCGACTTGAATCTTTCGCTTCGTTCGAAGAAGTTTTGATTTCAATGCATCTCTTGCCAATCTCCCTCCGCATAGCTCTTCCTATTATTAAATTCGTCAAAGAAACTGGAGAACCTCTTCTCTAAGTGAAAGGAGAAAGGAAATTTTTATTTAATGTTTCCGTTACGGAAAGGAAAAAATGCTTGACATGGCTCTTATGGTAACGTTAATTTGATTTGTGCAACCTATCTATTACTTTTTCATAAAGGTAATTCATTTAAAATGTCTTGTAGACCGGGAGGATGGAAGATTTAATCTTGTTTTCGTCCGATACCGCAATTATTTCGCAAATGAGAAATATTTGTTGTTTTCTCAACGTCAGATGTCATTTCGTTGGAAAAAGTCATTATTATTAAAGGAATTTCTTTGGGTGAAAACTTGCACGAAAAATTATTCACTCCACCATCTGCTGTCAGGATGGCATTCGGTTTGAATTTCTTTCTTCATTTCGTTAAGAAAATTACTTTGTTTTTAATTTGAAAGCTGTTAAAAAGATACTGAGTAAACAAGTTGTCATAACGGCATTCCAGAGAAATGGGTTGCTATTTTTTTATCGTGTAAAATTTTACAAAATAACATGTTTCATTTTTTATAATCTAATTATTGAAGACCTTTGAAAAAAAAATCGACATTTATTCATATTTGAAACATTTCAATTAAAATAAAATTTACGAAAAACTAAAATATTGTTTGATTTTTTCCAGACTGAAATGTTACTTAAGTATCTAAAGTAATTAAATTTAATTACTTTTGGTATTTGAAAAACAAAGAAGTGACCATTTTTAACTTCGCATTTTATTTACGTGTTAAATTATCTAAATAATAAGTGCATCCCATTACTCGATTATCAAAGGTAAATGAGACCGTAACTACCTCGGAAGCAAATTTTTATTTCGTGACAAAATATTCACGAAAAATACTGGAGTAAACAACTCCATCAATGTTCACGCAAATTGCCATACATTATCAAATCTTTTGCATTCATTTCTGAGACATTAATTTATTTCAGGAAAAAATATTACCACTTTAACGAGAGCTTTATAATTTTACCAGCCACCGCACGATCATGACATTTTCTAACTAACAAAAATTAAAGTATTCAAACATTAGGAAGTCGCTCTAAATACTAAATAGCTTTGCTCAAGGTTTGAACATTGCTAAATTTGTACATCATCCGTTTCGGTTTCGTTGTCCTCAACATCACACTCATCACTGTCATTTTCACTGTTCTTGCTTGATTTTCAAACAGTAACAGTTTTTACGTCACTCAAAACTTAAACTTGGTTCACTGTTTTCTACATTTATCCCTTCCGAACTTGAGCCATGTCTTTGCATCCTTTTATCTTTCGAAATATATCTATAAATTCATTGTCAATTGCTGCCTGACTGTTAATGCTGCCTTTGACTTAATACATCTTTCACCGTAGTGTATAATCAAGAGGTCATTAAATAACCCATTACTGATATAAGAGGCCAAAAGATAATCACTCATAAGAGAATTCGCGAACGTTATAGATTAGTCCTTGTCTTTTCTAATGTTACTACATTTTTCCAATGATTGTTTAAAACTGATTCCGTCTCGGTTGATAGAGCCCTCGGTTGATAAAGGCCTGGTTATGGAGATTTTATTGTATTTCAAGATCTCGTAGCATAAGTCCTTTCTGCAAGTATTTGTGATCTTAAAGCATACTGATATATATGAGAAATTATGCGTATAGATATCTGATCAATTACTGTAAAGAGGATATTGGCTACAATTACCACGTTGCTAAAGATACTACCTCAACAAGATCATAGGTATTGCTGAATCTGTAACCAATATTTTTAAATGTTCGGTAGTTATATAGTGTTCTAGCTAAATTAAACTTACCTTGACTACTAGAACTACTAGAGCTGCAAAGCGACTATTCGCTAAGTTCTACTAGATCGATAACAACAGCAGAAGAAGGATACCCTTTTAACTCAAATATATTCACAGATGGCTCCACTAGGGGGTACAAATAACCAGAACTGTGGCTTTAACTTAAAATTATAAAAATGTAAAACTAATTCCAAGTTCAATAATCAGTTGTACCAGTTGTTACGTTACGTACGAGGTTCGTGTGGATTTGGAGTGAATAACAACGATACTTGATGAAGTATCGAAAACACACTTTATTTAGCCAATGATAATCAGGACAGCTCCAAAATCACGTTTTACAGTCGTCGAAGATCTCCCATAAAAACGCTGGAACAATCAGCGACACAGCCTTCACACTGTCACGCAATAACAGTGGAGACAGCTTCACCAGCTCCAGACTCTGCTTGGTCGTTCTCGGAATTCCACGTACTCTCGAGACTCTCCACGCTACAACTCGCGATGCACTCGACGACACACAGAGCACAGCTCCCGACTCTTCGGTTCAGTCGTTCCCGGAGCTCAACTCTCTCTCTCGAACGATGCACCAACCGCGATACACTAAGAGACTCTTTCGATGCACTCGACGACCCACTCGGCACTCGCTGCGTGGCTGTCAACTCGATCGACTCCGCACGGACTGACTAACTCGAGAGTTACTTTCTCGCACTCTAGACGAGGCACTCTCACTGACTCGCCCTCTCAACGAGACACGCACTGACTGCGGATCGGCAGGTTTATATAGCTTTCGGCTTGTGTTCGAGAACATTCTGGGCTAAACCAGTAAGAATTCGTTCCAGAAGGTTCTCTATCCGTCCATAGTATATCGCCAATTTTGTCGCCAAATATCACCAAATGGGCGATTTCTCGCCAAATGTGGCAACCCTGCATTCCCTACTATGTTATGGCAAACCTAAAACTGCTTTGCGGGAAAGCAATCTTACCGTCCCTGGACATTTCGTAACAATATGCACGGCTGTAAAATAGCAAGCTTTAGCTAGTAGCAACAGCCTGGTCGAAAGGCAGAACACGCTGTGTCTGAAGTACCTGAGACATCAGCTTAAATATAGTTTCTACTC